TGTGTGTGTGTGTGTGTGTGTGCGTATCTGTGTCTGTAATAAGGAAGGTCAAGCAGATGAAACGGACTTAGTATGTATACCCATGGGTAAAAAAGAGACGCAATGAAAACAAATCAATATCATCATCTCGCGGCGTTTTGCGATGGAAAGAGACAGCGCAATAACAAACCGGCATTTTGTGCCGGCTTGATATTCTATGAGGAAGAACTGTATTTTAATTTCAACTGTATTGCAACTGATTATGATATAATTTCGTCTGCTATAGAGTTGTTTACGGACTTAAACAAGAACGCAGTCAATTTATATTTTCTTGTCCGTTTGCTTTTAAGTAGGTAGACTCATTTAGTTAACGGCAAACCGGTATTTTTTAATATAATTATGTATGAATAAAATAAATGCCGATAACCAACAATGGAAACTACAAATGTCATTATACTTACTATTTATAAAAAAAGAAATCATTTTTTTACACATAGGTACAGATAGGTATATCTATGTCTATATATATATGATTGAATAATTAGATAGATATACAGGTACATAAATACGTATTATTTTAACATAATCGTCACATATTGTAGATAAAAAATAGTAAAATACAAATAAGGTTAACTGAAATAAACTATTAAGAGAACAATGTGATGAGACTTGTATAAGAAAATGCATAGATGGGTAGCTACGTCGTACAACTGCACACTACTGGTATCGACTACTGCATTGCACACATAGAACTGAACTGGCACGTGTAAGCGTGCCGACGACACACTACGATAGAACTAGGGTTATTCTGAAAACACATCTATGGCTTTTCATCATACTAATAAATAGGACATACTTGTTGCAAATACATACTAATAATTATACTGGACGACAAAAAATATGGTATTATCTGTCCAGTATCATATAATCGTTAATATCATTTTATACTATACACAAAATTATGCTTTCTAATTTAAATTCCCAATCTTTCTTTCCTTTGTTCACCCTTTGCCAACAAAATTTTTGGTAACGGCTCTTAGTCATCATAACCAGGTTTGGCTGAATGACAATATTACGCGAGGAATAACTGCAATAATGAAACTATCATAATACTATACTAATTTCTACCTTTTACACACATTGGACCTAATTTCTTTTTTATTAATTTACTTGCATTTAAATCGCTTAAGAATGATATAAAGTTCAGATATATTGCACGGAGCGGACACTAGCACGCATACGTCACTAAGTACGCAAGAAACCTAGCAGAAATATATACATTTGAAAAAAGTATATCAAAGCTTTATCAAACGCTGAAAGTAGGTCAGTGGTGCAGCGAAGGGAGGGAGCCGCCCTCCTGAAGTAAAACACGCGCACCGACATTCGATCCACACTCCCCTCGTCCCGCACCAAGGGAAGGTGAAGCTATATTAAAATAAACTATAGATACCTACTGTGCCAACTCAAGGAACTGATACGTTCTTGTAGGTCTTACTATTTTATACGAATAGATTCTTCTTGGTAGCGACTAGTGTTCATTTTTAAACAATGTTATGTAATTATTATCGTACTTATTGCGTCGTCGAAAAAATATTGTCGATGTCTTAAATCATAAATTATTAGTTTGAGAACAATATTTATACAATTATTTTTTGTATATTTCTGGCAAAATAACTAGATAATGCTCTAGTATTGATTTTTTATGTATAGTACAATAAAAGTAAATGGTGACTTGTGAATTAGGTAATTTTTACTGATAGGTTTAAAATCCAATATTAAATTGGATAGAACCTTCAAATCCGTGATATTAGACGAAACCCTGAAATGGCATAATGTAACAAACCTACCATATTGATTGGTTCAAATTAAACAAAGAAGCGCAACCTTCATACACCACCCTTGGCCCTGGTGCTTCGACCCAGTTCGCGGTCTCTACCCCTCCTCCTCAACCACCATTTTGCACTCCCCGGACTACGGTGCTCCTCTACCTCATTCCCCCGTGACCTAACCTACTTTTGATTGCACTTAAAATAGCTACGCTGCCAGATCTGACCCAGCAAATTTAACTATAAATCTAGATTGAACCAATCATTATAACATACGATTCGTTAGTTTTAAGTTATATTGACTAAATCAATCAATCAGCTATTCATTCACAAATGGGTATCAACCATAATTATAAAATAAAAATACATAATATTTTTTTATTGTTATAAGCCTGTTAACGAGCAGACGGATCACCTGATGGTAAGCAATTGGCGTCGCCCATGCACACCCGGTACAACAGAGGCGTTACAAGTGCCATGATACAGAAAACATATTTTCAATGACGGAGGTTTCTGCACATTTTTTTACGACTGAAGTAGATGAAAAGGTTTAATTAACTAAAACTTAACACCATTAAGTATAATGTACCGTTGAATGTATATAGCCCAACTCAGCTGAAATAATGTGGCATTGAGCAGAAGGTCGATGCAGAAACTTTGGCAAGACACGCCAACTGCGGCCCTGCGTATGTTTCGTCACGGTCGGTTTACTAACGTGTGTAAATTTAGTGAAGTGGACGCTACTTCAGTAGTTTTAAGTTAAAAGAATATTCGATATTTTGATACACATCTTTACGTGTAGACTTTATATGCTATTTATAATCACTAGCATTTATGCAGCACTCGAGAACCCCGCAAGCTGGTTACGGAAATTTTATAATTATATAAACTAAATAGTCACATAAAACTCACCAATAGAAAATATGTTCTAACAATGCATGATGTCGTCACGCTTTGTACAAAGCGTGGCGCTTACTTGCGGTGAAGCAGTGTTACCAGCAGAACGACGCGTTTTGCTCGCAAGGCCGCGACCTAGAGTTGCTTCCGTCTCCACTACAACATCGCTCTTCATAAAATCGGTACAAGAAACATCATTTTCTAATTATAACTATTATTGTTACAGATTAACAGCGTTGTGTTTGTATGCACTTGGCGAGGATGCACATACAGCACAAATACTTGCTCAGCTATTGAAGCACATATTAGAAACACACATTTGGGGTAAGTCAAATATCGTTTGTTATTTTCAAGTTGTAGGTCTACGAATGGATATTATTTCATTTGTAATATTTTTTAATACATATGTACCGGTAGCATAAACCTAGCAAATTAACTCACAAATAGTAGAATGCAACAGTCACGTGTAAAAAGGTCACGTGCGTCAGCCACTGCACGTGCTAGGTGCAATAATAATTGCGCAATGCCTACAAGCCAGCTGGCAAGGTTACAGCCTGAATGCATCTACTGATGCATGTTAGCAAACATTTTACTTCCTGATCAGCAGAGAAAGATTTAAAAAAATTGTAAGACAATAACGTAGTACGTGTATAATTTTAAACATAACGATTTTTTATTTATATTTCATGTATGTACCAATAAAAATAATGCTGAGTAAGACCTTGATGTCTACAATACAGTAGTTAGCATAAAATAGTTAGAGAATACAGAAAGGCCGGCCCTTGGTGACCCGGAAGCAACGAGGCTTCGCGACAAGGTTGCTCGCAACAATCCCGCCAGCGCGCGCAAGGCCATTCGACAACGCCCGCAGCCCACTACTTACGTAACGCTGCCCTACTATGATCTTATAACCAATGATACAATACCTACACTTTATTAAATGTATTTATTTGCAATGCAATTTGCAGCCCTATTTATTTTATATGTAGGCTTACGTAGGCATAGATTCTATCAATATTACGTATTTAAAAATAAATATTATTATTTAGGTTTAACTGTAATATCATAAAATCTAATATGTTGAATAATACACACTGACAAAAATGTCATTAAATATGAATTACTCACTTTTCAGGCCAAAGAAAGAAGGTGATAGTGACCATGAAGAAGAGTTCTACTACACAGAGAGGGAGGTGGCCGCCCCTGCACCGCCACCCACACTCTCCCACCGAGACATGTGTCGCCCACCGCATGAGGATCCTGAATATCAACGTCAGCTAGTAGGCTCTTTCAGGTATGTACCACATTCATAAATGTACATCATGTGTTTGGGTACAATTAGTTACTTATGGATTTCGAACGTTCAAAGAGACCATTATTAGTCAATTCCTTAAGACCACACATATAATAAGACTAACTGAATAACTAGAACTGTTTAAGATAAACGAACTCATTTTTTTTTTTATTTTTGCCACCTTTTTAACTGGCATTCAATACAAATCACTGATTTATAATATACATATGTAGGTGCATAGGTTGTATTGTATTTTTTTATTTTTCGCAGACAAGGATTACTGTCTACTCTGCAGAATGGAACTGCACGGTCAGTAAACATTCCTGTAACTCATCACTGGGTCAATACGCATTCGCCGGTAAGCGCTACATTAAGAATGAGCAATGTTATAAAAAACATGGATTTTTATAAATACGTATGTCCTAAATTTCTTATAATTTTGCAGAAACATATGCGGCTATCTGCAGCGAATGGATCACCAAGTAGTCCAGGCCGACGACCACGTTCAGACAACAAAAAATGTCGTAAAGTATATGGAATGGATCAACGTGATCTCTGGTGCACTCAGTGCAAATGGAAGAAGGCATGCACGCGTTTTGGTGATTAGCGGTCGCGACGCTCGCACGCATATGCGCGGGCAGGGCAAACAAAATGAATACAGAGTTGTATTATTGATACATCTATTTACCCAGCATAAAATAAAATATGACAAGACATTCGCGGTAAGCGAGAACTGTTCCGCGATTAACTCGTGATTTAAGTATAAGAAAATTTATATTATGAATCAAAGTTTTTATTTATTATAAGCAGAGACAGATAAATTTACATATATTGGATAAAAATTAATGGAGACATATTTTTGCTCTTTATATGTGGCTCGTGTTTTGACTGCTGCATAATGGACATTGCCCACGTATTTTTGTAGCGCAGTAGATTCGCCTTAATTGTGACGTAAATGTGGAATGCAAAATCGTGTGACGCTCTTGAGCGGAGACTGTGAATATTAGAATATAAGTAGCTGTAAGTTTAGACTGAGATGAATAACGTGTGAAACCATTTTCCTCGACGAACGTTGACAATGACGAGTAATTTTAATTACTGGTTATATTACGATGGCTTACTACTAGACAAACCGGTGTTGATAATATTAAGATTGAATTTTATCATTTAACCGTGAAA